GAGAGTGTGTAGGTGTGTGTGTGAGAGAGAGAGTGTGTGTGTATGTGTGTGAGAGAGAGAGAGAGAGTGTGTGTGTGTGTGTGAGAGAGAGAGTGTGTAGGTGTGTGTGTGAGAGAGAGAGTGTGTGTGTATGTGTGTGAGAGAGAGAGAGAGAGTGTGTGTGTGTGTGTGAGAGAGAGAGTGTGTAGGTGTGTGTGTGAGAGAGAGAGTGTGTGTGTATGTGTGTGAGAGAGAGAGAGAGAGTGTGTGTGTGTGTGTGAGAGAGAGAGTGTGTAGGTGTGTGTGTGAGAGAGAGAGTGTGTGTGTATGTGTGTGAGAGAGAGAGAGAGAGTGTGTGTGTGTGTGTGAGAGAGAGAGTGTGTAGGTGTGTGTGTGAGAGAGAGAGTGTGTGTGTATGTGTGTGAGAGAGAGAGAGAGAGTGTGTGTGTGTGTGTGTGAGAGAGAGAGAGAGAGTGTGTGTGTTCACACATATCCCGTAAAGACATGTGACATCGGGATGTGACGTGTAATGTACGAGTCAAAAACGCTAGCCCGCTGCCTCTCTTTCAATTGTAATCGTGCACTTGGTGGAATTTTTTTCTTATGATCTACGGTTTCTCTCTCGCTCGAGAAACCACGCTCCTGCATTTTTTTATTTGATCATACACTATCGCATCGCGTACCATTCCACTACGCTGGTGAACGCAGCATCAGCGCGGATACTGAGGAGCTCCCTGGTCTCTGCTTCAGTCCAGTTTGCGGACATTTTTTTTTTATTTTATTTAATTTAACGTGAGCATTGATCTCTGCATTTAAATCACCTGCTCAAAGTGTCAACTACGTCATCACTTCGACACAACCTTTCCAGGATTGGTTCCTGCCTTTTGTTCACACAAGCCGCATTCTGGGACTGATTCCGGCAGTGTTATTAGGTCCCCATCCCGGGATCAATCCTGGAACGTGTTTGCGTTCACACAGAAGGCACTCTGGCAATTTCTATTTAATTTAATCAACATGCAGTGTGAAAGGGGCTACTGTCATTTGCGACTACTGTTCTCATTGAGCCTATAAAATTCAATGAATTAGAGGTTAATATGCAGACAGTACAGTACATTTTAGAAAAAGTTGTTGTGTTCCTGCAAAAAAAAATGATCTCTATGAAGAATTTCAGTCAGGATTGCTGTTAATAGTGTTCATCGTCTGTTTTATTACGTCTCTAATTGACCATATGCACATTAACTGACAGTCACCACTGATAAGCTACTACTAAATATTGTAGAAACTTAATTTGCTGTAAAATTGCTTTGCAACGATTTGTATCGTGAAAAGCGCTATACAAATAAACTTGAATTAAATTGAATTGAACAGTACTAGATAAAAATTATTTGTCTAATTTGACTTGATGGTGAGTATTACAGTTCTTTGATAATTTCAGTGTCTGAATTATTAATTTTAACATTGTGTATATTTATTTGCATCTTTTTGATAACTAAAATGTCAAAATATAACAAAATATGCTTTGTTTTATCATTTTATAATTGTTAAAAAATATTTTGACAGCTGTATACTAATGGGGCAGTTTAGAGATCCAACTGTGTTAGACATAAACATACGGATCCAGACTGTATCCAGATCAGATGGTGGATCAGCAGCTAGAGACGACCTCTACAGCCCTGAATGTCAGCGGAGACCAGGACAACTAGATGACAGATCCCCTGCGACGACCTCGTCACCTCGACGACCATCGGCACGAGACCACGGGAACCAGACGAGTCCTCTGCTCAATCTGACCTGTGCTGCAGCCTGGAATTAAACCACACCATGCTGGTTTGGTCTGGCCAGAGGAGAACAGACCAATTCTCCATTTCTGTCGCCGATGGAGTTTTGGTTCCTTTGGTTTGCTTAGTTGGGGATGCTTGACTGATTGCACAGACACTATTGCAGAGAGCTGAACTGGATGATAACATCACTGAATCATCAATGAACTGACTTGAAAAATGACTCTGTTATTGTCTTCTTGCATTACTGACAAACTATTTCCCTGTTTGACACATTAAAGCTGCTTTGACACAATCAGTATTGTATAAAGCGCTATACAGATAAAGGTGACTTGACTTGAATGGTTCTGGCGGCGGCTCCTAGAAGAGGCTGTCCAGCTACCAAAAAGGAGGCGGACTCCAGGGACGAGACTTTGACTGCCAAGAAGGTTAAGGCTGTTGTCCTGCTTCTCTTGAATTCTCTGAGTGTTTGTCTGACATCTAGCAGACATTTCATCGTCAGAGTTCCCCATTCGTCATCCAGGAGAGTCACTTTCCCACAGAGTTTAGTTTGATCTCTAATTAAACGCACCTGATTCAACTAGTAAAGGTCTTTGTGTTCACTTTAATAACAGCCAGATGTGTTGAAACTAAACTCAGCAGGAATGAGGAAGCTGTTTTACAGACTCGCAGACACACCCCTTTTACTCACGTGACTCAAACACAGAAGCAGGAAACAGGAATCACATGAGTTCAGGGAAAGA